CATAAGCAGCATCCAATATGAGCGTTTCCTCTAGCGGTTTGATTAGAAGGAATGATTTGTTGCTAGCGATCACTGCTTTATACAAATCGTTACACACACAATGAATCACTCGAACAGGTTGTTCAGTCTGATATCAGTCTGATATCCCACGAGGCATCATCAAAAAGGTACCTTGAAAGGACTGGGGTTTGGGTGGATCTCCGGGAAGTCAGAGACAGATTCAATCTCGAGGGAAAATAGGCCGGCGAACCGATACATCAAGCGATGAATGGAAACGGTCAAAGAGTCGTTTTCAGACATCAAAGAAATCAGGTTAGGAATTCCGTGACTATTGATGTGACTTCAAAATCACGACATTTCAGATCTCAGCAGGATCTTTTTGTGGAATCTTTTGTGAATCAAACCGGCTGGGTATACATTTGTGTGCATCACGTACATAAACTCAAATGTGAGGAGTGATAGACCATTTTCAAATAGTCCCAACAGCATTTACGCGGTTAATTTCTATTCCTGAATTCGAAATGGACAACTCGGGCGCTTACACGAGAGGCGGAGACCTTGTAGCTGTTCGCAGGCCGTGAAAGAGCAATCCACGAGTTTACCAACTTTTTCCAAATGTTTATTGAAGGACGCCTAGAACAAAGTGGTAACGACTGCTACAGTGGATGTGATGTTCAAATGTTTCCCGAAAAAAATGCGTTCAGCCTCAGCAGATGATAGTTTTTGATCTGTTGCTGCGCTCGAATGCCTTTGGCTTCTAACGTTCTATATGTTTAGATTTGCTCATCTGTTCGCAACCTGTCCTGGAAAATGCGTCGGCGCATTCAAGCATAAAATTAAGCTCCTTGGAAGAATAATTTCTCAAGTTCCAGTTTCTGACCCAGGCCTCGTTTGTGCTTGAGTGTTTTGTTTTCGATTTTTTTGTAAAAGACGTTGATCTCTGCGTAGGTCAAGTTTGGATAATTCTAGTGGATAGTGATTAGAACAAGAGAAAATTGCTCAGAAGACGCGACGCGTGATGTGTTGAGCAGTTAGATCGAAGTTGATTGTGGGCAACTTCAGTTAGTTTGGAAAAGTAACTCCACAACTTGTGATGACGCAAACGTTGGGGCCAGAACTAGTTTTAGATTACAGTAAAAAGAGTGATTTTTGCATAATTCATCACTGGGAACGATGTGCAGCTAGAGATATTTTGGAGATCAGTGTAACAGATAAGGCTCAGCAAAACTGTGGCCTAACCCTAACGGAAAGATATTTTGGGTGTAGAACGCTCGTTAATAATGAAAGATTTTTTTGCACAAGGAATGTTCTCGACCTAGTCTGGACGTGAAAAATTCAACATCGGCCAGGTTCAACACTTTATTGATATCATAAAATTTAGTAAATCGGGTTGCTTTGGTTATTTAGCTCTTGCAAAGTTCGCCTTTTAGTTCACAAGTTTTGAAATAATAAATAAATAAATAAGTAAATAAATAATAAATATTTTCCACATCATTGGTATAAACATATTTTTTTAATAAAAAACAGGTTATTTGGGTGAGCCGAAATGTTTATAAACAAGGTGTTAGATAAAAATGGCGAATTTTTTCATGATGTCCAAATTAAAAATACTGATGCTCAATTCATAATGATCACAACTTGAGGAAAGTTGAGTCTAACTTGAGTCTACTGCAGACAGGATCTGTTGAAGGACTGCTGGGATTCCATTTTGCAAGCTGACTACTTAGTAACCGTTTTAGGTGACTCGCTGCTTGATGCACTTTAAATGGCCGATGAACATCACTGAGAACCAGGACAATTTCTTTCACGTTTAGTTGGACTACCGAAGCCCAGCTTCCTGAGGCGTGCGATCAGGTCCTTTTGCTAATTGTTAGCTGCCGCTCTGGAAAAAAAATTGGAAAAGAACAAGTTTTACTTTTTGAAAAAAATGGGTTCCGATTTTGAAAGCATGCGTTCAGTTTGCATCTGCTTGTATTTAGCATTCCAAAGCAAATTCAGGCTGTGCAGTGTGGACAAATATTCTCTCTTGATTCACTTTGTGAAGAATGTGCAGTGTGACTCATTGCACAATTGTTACTGTTCGTGCAGAGGAAAATATGGCACAGATGGACTCAATGTCTGCTTACCCATGTATCGCTGGAATGGTTGGAGCTGGCGGTCGAATTGTCCGTTGTCCTCGTTGCTCACCGTACTCGAATTATCAGTTTGTTGTTGACCGACGCACAGAGAGATAAATTTCCGTGTCTTGTCAATATATTACCGTTCTTTGCGTTTATCAAACAGAAGATCATCTGTTTTGGAGATTATGAAAAATCTGACAGCAAAAAAACAATCTTGACATGTCATTTAATATGGTAACCGGACCAGGTTGAGCGGTTCTTTCCAGTCCCTGAGGCGTGCGACGAACGTTGGCACGTAGATTGGTTGGTTAAGATAAAACAAAGGGTTTGCATTAAGGGAACTACTCACAAGGTTGCTGAAAACTCTTCGACAGCCCACGATCGGTTTCGCCCTTTTCGGGCTCATCAGGTAGGCACAGTCCCCGAGTTTCCGTCAACCTTATGTTCTACTTGAATCCAAAATGGACTGTTTTTGAGAAATACACATATTTGCAAATGATGAGCCCCAAGAAGGGCGAAACCCGTCGTGGGCTGTCGAAGAGTTTTCAGCAACCATGTGAGTGGTTTCCTCTGTGAAAATATACTGCGATATCTCGAATATCGTGCCAACTGAAACATGGGGCAGCCTGGGTGCAGCATATTCAGTCGTAGAATATCATAAACGAGAGATTCAGTTGAGTCTCTCGCGAAAACCATTTTGATTTGCAAATTAGTGGATTTCCCGAAAAGGGGTTTCAGTTGGTACAGAGGATCACCAACAAGAATCAGCGTTGCAGGTTGGCACTTTCAAGAGTTTCATTTGGTTAGTATTCACTGTGAGATAAGTTTTGTATTCTTGAACATCCATATGAACAGTTCAAACAGTTCCGAACTACGAATATACTGAAATCGGTAGCACAAAGCTTGTAGTTTCTCTTAGAAGAATGCCGTGGATTCATATTGCCACGAGCACTGCGGCAATAAAGGGAACCTTGTTAGTCACGAACTATTCCTGAGTCCTGGGAAATCGATTCTGGTTTCATAAGCCACTATTCATTTGCATAGAAAGCAGGTCTCATTGTTCCGCATTTGTGCGGCAGAACATGTTCAAAGTGTAGATTGTTCTGAACTGTGAACGGTCATTGTTTGTTCTCTTAGGTGGTCTATTGCGATAGACGCCACCCAGGACATCTGTTCACGACTACCTTGGAGCGATAGTGGGAGACCAAAATAACGAAGGAATACGATATCAAAAAACGTTACGTACGAAGAGATATAAAAATGTTTTCATTCACTCATTCCGGAGGACCAAGGGAACTTATACTGACTGCAAATGAAGTTACTACTCACTGGCACTCACGGTTTGGTTCACCCGTCTGTTCATTGTGTAAAATAGGCATTGGTTTTGCTTTGACAAAGTAGCCTCCAGCAGTGAACATCTCAGTAATAGAACGAGGTAGTTGGCTTCGCACTGAAAAACTGTATAGTGCAAGAAAATCTCCATTAGAAAGAGAAGTTTCATCGAGATATGAATCCCAAAGTGCTCCGACCGACCAACCAAAATCACCTTTTCTAAGACGTGGAATCTCCTGGCCTTATTTTGACAGCTAGCTACAAACAACCCCAACTTGTGGCATTTTCAGGTGCTTCTGGGGGTGATTGTCATTTGAGGTTTTTTCGAGTATGGATATCACGAGGATATTTTCGTACCGAGGGCAACGACATGTGTATATCCCCTTGTTGCAGCATCCGGTTTTGACCAGATGTTACGCATCCGCACTGAGATCATTTGAATTAACTGGTCTCTTTCTTCTTGATAAACGTAAAGTCACTCAAAAAATGGACCAAAATCTGAAATTTAGACAGATCTTTTTGGATGACGTACAAAAAACATTAATAAAAGATGTGAAACAAAATTTATGCCACAAATCACAAACCCGCAAACTGTATAGTTTTGAAATTTTGAACCGGAGAGACATCATTCACTCGATAGCGATACGGACAACTCCGAAGACTGCTTGATCTAAAGCATATATTTGCTTCTCGTTCCCAAGTTTTGTCTTGCACTGCTAAATTATCCAGTTGCCATTTCTGGTGAAGTCCTAAATGGCTTTCTAAATGAGGTGAACGCCAGAAAAATAATGTTGCGGCTTGACTCACATAAATAACAATCGTCAATGGAAATGCTGTCTTGTAAATGAAACCGATCTGTGCTGAAAAGCCAACAACAGAGCACTGTACAGCTGTTTCAGCAGTGTGTATCTCACGAAAGTCTAGCATAGAGTCTGGAGCTCGTGACCTCCGGGCCAATAGTTTGAAGGCTGATCCTATGAGGCCACGAGCGACCGGAACGAGGAGGGTTTGAGGCTCTCGAATGGCGTTTTGCGAAACGCACATTGCTGATGAATCTCAATAAGAATGAAGCAACTTTTCGGCTTCCCAGCATAGACTGGCTTCAAGTACTGAACCGACCAAAGTCATTGGTATGCACTTTGCACCCGCAAAGTGTAGGGTGATGCTCGCGGACGTGTAGTCACTGAACACGCCAAGGAGGCAATGGAAGTTGTGGAGCATTTCACGTATGTTGGAGGTTGTATTAGTTTTGATTGTGTGTGACGGATAAGGTGAATGCACGAATCCACATGGTTCGGACCGCGTTTGCTAACTTGAGACACCTATGGCGTCAGAATGGTTTATCCCTGAATCTGAAGGGACGTGTGTATCAAGCTACAGTACAGGCTGTTTTGTTGTATGGCTGTGAGACTTGGCCTATTCGAGCAGCGGATGGGACATGTGTTGCGTACGCCGAACTATCGTTTGCCGAAAAGAGTGCTGTTTTCCATGCCCAACTCAGAGTGGCGTAAACAGCGAGGTGGCCAACCCTTGACTTGGCAGAGGAATATGAAGAAGATCACGAAACGCTTGGGTGTTGTCAGTGCTACTCGCCTCCCCGGATGGGGACCGCGTGACCCTCACTGCGCCTGGTTGGAGATATGGCTGCCAACCGATGTCAGTGGCGTTCTTGTTGTCAGTTTCTATCCAGATTGCCTGAGTGAATATCTGGAGGTGTAGGCACCTCGGAATGATTGTGGTAAGCTAGCACTAAGTCCCTTCCCGGTCCACCTTTAATCTTTTATTTACAATAAGGCTTTCAAATAAGTCATGGTTGTACGGCAGTGAAGCATCGATGTTGAACACTGATGTCATGCTGTCGATGATGATGATGATGAGTGGACGGAATTTTTTATTAAAAAACTCAAATCTCCCCATACTACTAACAGCGATGTTTCAGTGGCATTTAAACCTTTTACGGAGAAGTGATTGAAACGGGCAATGCAAGAGAGTGAAAAGATTAGATTACTATTGCTGTAAGTACCTTGGATTTAAGATGCCGTTACTTTCTAACACAAAGGAATCTTTGATAAGTAAGAACGTATTTGCCAAAAAGAGAGTCCATCTAAAGAGGCCTACTGCACTTGATGGCTGATATCTTATGGGATTAGTCTTATTTCATCGTTCTTCTAATCAACTACTGGATATCTTTAAAGCGATCTTAATCGGTGAAGAATTTCTTTGCAATTATTTACTGTTGTTTTTGATACGTTGTTCCAAAATAATCACATTTCTCACACACAACGAATAAATACGGGCGGTATGAAAAAGAACTGTTTCTGAGTGTTTTGAACGTTTCAGCCGACCACAAAATAAACTGCAGCTGAAGGCTGTCAAAGCAGTTTGAGTGACACTTTGGTGAGAAATTGTTTTGAACATTGCTGAGCAAGCTGCGTCAGACCTCATGTCTATGAATGTGTTTCACACCCGCTTCTGTTAGCTAGTCTCTGTGACAAAAGATGGAGAGAAGCGAGGCCGCGTTGGAAGAAAAATGCTTAATTCCTCAAATTTTTTTAGTGTGGTGAACAACGCAGGATGGATACGCTGCACAACCTTCTGCATTGTCGACCACCTCGGTGTGTGAGTGTGGACAGGCCGGCTTGAAAAATGCTAAAACCTGTCCAACTGACAGGGGAATAAATCATTTTTCGGTGGTGCTATGGCATTACGTGATTAAGTGCGCATAGGATTCGTATATGTCAGGTTGATTGACTTCCTGGTCGAAAAAACACTAGATGTGATATTCTTGGCAAAACGAACTTTAATTCATGCGACTGAACACCCCCGGGGAAGAATAGAATGGACTAGCATTCGAGAGCCATAGAAAAAGTGCTCAGGTAAGCAACGGTGCAATCCTAAAACAGTTACAAGAAAGTTAACTTTTTACTTTTTTGAAACAGAGGAGAAGGGTTATCTATCGGGCACTTGGAAAATCTACGAAGCCTGTCGTTTTTGCCTGCAGTTTGATATCTGAGTCCATTTAATTACGTCTGTATGAGTGGAGCATTTGCGCAGTTTCAATTTTTTTCGTTTTAAGCCCTGTTTTCCTTAGGTATCTAGGTAGCGCATTACAAACACATATATATCTACAGGTGTATCAGAGTAACGGTGATACTACTATTGAGGGAGGCATGCGAGTAGTATGTTTTCTTCCTGTAAATTCGCTTGAAAAGGGAGATCTGTTGCGGAGTTTGTGAACTCGCTTTGTAGCATTGTTTTGGACTTGAGCAACACTCATGCAATTGAGTAACAGCCAATGAATATCCAGGAAAGTTTAGGAAGACGTGTTCAAGATAAGTTGAATAATCAGTTTTGTAAACAAGATGCATTTGAGAGTTTTGCTCCCCTGTCCAACAGTCTGTAACTGGTCTGTTGGCATTTTCCGATGAATAACTCCTCAGCGAAGGCCTTCTTCTTTTCACCAGTACGAATAAACTACCAGTAAAATCGTCATTCGACGATGCTGATTTTGAAACCTATTCAGAATTATACAGCTTATTTATAGGCTTGCAGACTCAAAGGTTACAAAAGCAATCGTACACAGTTCATTCTATCACTTGTAATCGGCTCTATTTGTACAAGAACATAGTGGGATGACGCCACAGTGGGTTCCTAAACAGCAGTTCATTTCCCATTAAATTGTGCAAATAAGACGGATTTACATTCATAGACTATAAATGAAATTTTATTAAATAAAAATGCGGAATAGTCTCGTCTTGTGGCACGACCAACGGTTCAGCGATAATGAGTGGACAAGCTGGCCTTCTGCGGAACAAGCAGAATCTGCGAAACTTCAGACTGAAAACTGACGTTTCAACGCATGTTTCGTGGCACTATTTCACCAAGGGTACTGCTTCTTCCTGGTTTGGTCAACAGCTTGAGTAACTGCACTTGAGACTGCACTTGCTTGAGACTGAGACCCGTAAAGTGTCGAAATTCGGGTAGGGGCCCAAAGCTAGGAGCACTGTTACATGCATGCAAAGTGCAACTCATTGTTCCCACTTCATTCTCTTAGGTCAAATCAGTATGAAAAGCACGGGGCTGTGTACGCTTTGATTTGCGGAGACACGAGGCGACAACTCAGCTGTACGAATAACGCCAGAAGATACAAAAAATAGTATTGAATGGATTAGTGCGAATCGCCCGGTTGAAACTCAGATGAATCGGTCGAGAAAGCAATATTGCAGCGCTGGAATTCACCCTCTGGGAGAAAGGCTACTCTATGCAAGCGAATGCTGTCTGGCGGATTAATGCGCATTTTAACGGTAGGTATTCGTTTTACCAGATATTGCCTCATCCATGGATCTAATCGCTGAATGGTTACTGATTCTCGTGTCGCACCCGATAATTACCAAACCGAAAGCATGGAATTTTTTTGGACGTTTGCGACCAAAGAACGCGAACTTGCCTTTCTGAAGTTTGTTCATAGTCATACCACCCTCGTTCGAACAGTCGTCCTCCTGTCCTAGGCGTCCACACCAAAGGGAAGCACTGAACTCGAGTTCCGCTCTTATTATAGCTCATCAGCAGTGCATATCCAGTGATCGTGTCTGGATTTGAACCCCAGACATCTGACATCCGGGTTCCCAAAACAAATTACTTTTTATCCACTCCAAAATGGCGAATTTTTCCTTTCGTTAAACTCAGTTATGCATCAGTATTCCATTTGATGTTTGATGTCTACTTTCGCCAGAACAACAGACGTGTAAATATTCTGTCAACCGATGCTCTTTTCGTGGTTGTTGATCTCCGTAGCAAACACGGCTATGTTTATGGACATATTACACTGAAAGCAGTCTGCGGACAGGGTTATCAAAGGATCGTTCTCATCAAAACTTGCAGGATGGAGTAGTTAAACAAATTAACCTTGCGATGGTTATCAAACGACAAGTACCTTCCAGAAAGTTGAACAATCATTCGGGTTATAGGGCTAGACCGTGGCATCTAATTTGTAGGCACTTTTAAATATTTTAGACATCTTGCAACCAAATATCCACATGACCAAAATTACACTGAATGCAGATTATACAAGCTTTTTCACGTTCAATGTCACGGGCTAGACGGAACTTCAGATCATCGTTAGAGGAAAATTTTCAGATCGGACGTAAGTTTGGATTTGATCCTAGCCAGAAATTTCGTTGGACGTCTTGACAGCTGAAGACTTTTCGCATAACGCTTTCACGCATCAGTGTTTGATTTCCGAATGAACAAGTGTCAAGATTGACGGGATTACATTTCGAGGCACATACCGAACTGTCATTACACTGCCTCGGAAAGAATTCCAGCCTTCAAAAACGTCCGCCTGAGAAGGCATCTGATAACAGAGTAAGGGTTATTCCACTTTGTTGATTTGATTGGCCCGATTCTAAAAATATGATTTGTGTTTTGATGACCGAGTTTTTCCTGCTGTCATGCTCCAAAAGTTCGTTATGATTACGTTTTTATAAAGTAAAACTTTTGTCCCAAATTCAGCGCCTCGCGAAACATCTGCTGTTGTCCTAACGAATTTTGACGACATTTCGACGACGCTTATTTCTGCTTGGGGCGGAGATATGAGACTACGGAAGAAGTGTTTGAGACAGCATCTGAACAGGCACAGTTCACTAGAATATTTCACCCAACCTAAGTCCAAACATTTATGGCCGAGCATTGGTGTTCGCGCAAGAGACTAATCCGTGTGTGGGACAGTGTAGGATAGGTTGAGCGCTGTGAATGTCTGTCTGAATTACTTGGACTATTCGAATGGAACAAACCGACATTGACTGTTATAAAGTGGTGCGCTCTAAACTTCATCCTGTTGCCTTGTACATTGGATCGTTTCTACGAAACCTAGAGTTACTGAGGATTTCGAAGGTTAGAATTTAAAGAGAAAACTACAAATTGGTGTTTGAATGAATTTGAAATGATCTCATCAGCAAAATAAGCTGGGACTAAGAGAGATACTTTTGTCTTCGTCTGATTGTACAATTTGGACGCTGAACTGAGCGTCCAGTATGAAAGCCATTACCAGCGAACTCAGCTGCGCTGGTCATTGCCGTCTTCCTGGGTGGGGACCCCGAGACGAGCCACATCAATGACTAGAGACATTGTCAGATATGGCCCAGTCGCGCCTTCAATGGCGCTTGTGCATCCAAGCTATTGCCTTCAATGCGTAGCTCCTTTTCCAACCCCCCTTCACTTGACAGCCCACTGACAGTGCTGGATTTATGCATCAGTTTGTCAGCTCCCGCCTGCAATGCGCAGCTACCTACCCCTTCCCCCAAATCTTCGATGAACGAAACTGCGGCAGCTACAACCACTGTACAACGAGTACGCGGTTATTACAGCTGACAATGATAATAATAATAATAATAATAATAATAATAATAATAATGACTGTACAATTTCCTTTCGCTATTTCGTGCTTAACCAACTATCCTTATGTGTACATACCTATTACCGGAAGAAAAATTTGTAATTGTTAGGATGGTTGCTTCATGAGACGGAATCGATCGTCATTATCATCCACACAAAGTGAGTTACGATAAGCCTTACTCCAATCTCAACCAAGCAGTCATACGTATCGTAATTCCCCTTGTTTAAAAAAAGAGTTAAGATTAGAAGAAAAAAGCCAGTGCAACCAAACTGAAGAGATACCGCTTGTATCTCGGAATGCTCTGCTCATTCACAGTAGCTACGTGGCCAAACACTTTGGTAGGCAAAGGGAGAGAAAATAACTTTAGATGACTTGGATAACTTTCAAGCTAGTGTTCTGTGAAAGTTGCTGGTTATCTGTCGGAAGCAACGGATTTGCTTCCAGCGTGAGAAGCAAATGAAACATTTTGCGTGATTCATCTTGTCACCAAAACAAGTGTGGCCAAACTGTTGAGTTGAGTGTCATGCTTTTCTTGTCGTTCGTCAAATATCTCCCCACAATTCAACATATGTACCGGAAATTTATCATCGCAACGTAAAGTGTTCCCCCGGAGAAAATGCGTTATTAATTTGAAGTTTGCTGTGACTCTCTAAAGCCAGTAAGTGTCATTTTGTTAGTTTTTATCGTGTTTGTCGGGGGGTGGGCTTCATTCTTGTTAGTCCAAGAGTAAGAATCTTGCACGTAAACACCTACCGTATGATATGAGGTGTGTGTGTGCATGCGGGATCCCAGTATCTGTCAGCCGCCAGCTGAACCAGCAGTTGTCACCTCCTGCTAACATCCACTCCCCTAGACAATCAAAGGAAGGCACACCAACCAGAAGGGAAATAATTCTAATTCATTAGTTTTCCCTAGCTGGCCATAAATCAAACCGAAATTCAATAGGGCGCATGAGAGCTGGCAGTCCAATCACTCTTCTCCCAACCTCATTTTGATCCGACTAACTTAGCTTGCCCCCCCCGGCAGCACGCGAAGCACAGTTTAACTCAGTTTTTGTTCTGACATTCAATTAATACAACCAGTGAGCGATACATTTGTTCTTGTTGTGGTTGTTTTCGTTGTGGCAAACGAGGTTGAGGAAGTAGAAAACAACACGCGTTAGACGGGGACAAATAAAAACAACGCGAGATCGCTGTGTGAAAAAGCATGGAGAGAATTTGGTTTGTAGCTAGCTACGTTTTGGGACACAACCCAGCAAACACGTTCTCTAATGAATGTGTTTAGCCAAATCATCAAAAGTTTTGTGAATGCGGATAATTTGGTCAAATTTTCTGTAATAAAAAAGAAACTTTTACCCAATTCTTGGATTGGTGGATCTTCAAATTAGAACCATACTGTGGAACAGCGTGTCGTCTCTCGTAAAAGCTCTTCAACCCTGACAGAGATCTTTAGAAGTACCAATGATCTGACAGAAATTATCAAGCAAACCTTAGGGACATGGTTCGTCAGGGTAGTCTTGGGAACACACACTTCACGAGCGAAGTTTCACGGTGACTTGACTTCAAGCGAACGCAGAGCAGACAAAAACTGCTGCTACTGCCGGTGGCTTGCGTCTCTACCATTTTACAAATTGGAGGGCCTCGTTGAAGATTGCAACCGTTACAGATAAGCCAATGGTCTCGGGGTGCTTCCTTTGTCAGAATGTCATGGGAGAATGATTCCCTAATACAGGTTATTTTTGTGTGTCCACGAGAGACATAGCGGGACCTCTGATTACGATAACATTCAGAAGTTACTATTCTCAGCATCGGTTTACTCTGTCATCATCTGATGGATCCCTCAAATGCAGTGGTTCACATTTCCTAAAGTCAGATTTTCGATTCAAAGGATTTTCTCATGTTTGAACTTTATCACCATCTTCTAATTTGACCGAGGTGACCTCAAACAGATCAATGAAATGATTTCAAGATTCAAGAACCCAGGATATCACTCAGAATAAACATATGTTGCCGAGTTGTGCTTTTAACCGTGAAAGAAAATACTTACTGTGTGCCACATTGCAAGACTCTTGGAACCAAACTAGTCATTGTTGCGGTTCCTTTTGGAAGATCCTTCAGGAAGAATGTTGGCCTTCTTAAGAGTGGTTATCAGGGTGACCTGAAAACAAGTCCAGAAGAGAGATGTTTATAGCAAAAGTGTGCGTGCATACTCTTCTTGGTGATCCTTAAAATAGCTCTCATGTCGTGAGAAACATTGTTCTCACATTTTATGCCCAGCGGATTTGCCTGAATCGTATCAGTGAGTGAATAGCAATCAGTTTGCCCCTCTCAAGCTTGGCCACTTCGGATTGTGAGCGTTATCCCATATGGATTTAGGTGATCTTAGTATGTGATATTTTAAAATGACCTTACCTGAGGAGATCAAGCGATCGTGCATTAAAACTCTCCCCCTGCTTATTTACATCAGTAGAATAAACGGAGCTAGGTTTAGTACAAAAGCTTGAACTCGGTTCACCAATACATATATTATCTTCCACGTATCTTTGCATATCTCACGAGGTTACCTGGCCATCCAGGCTTGCTCAAGCGTCTTCTTTGTATCAGTTGGATTTTTCAGCCAACTCGACAATCATTCATCCGTAACGAAACCAAAAGTCAAGATGCTGAAACGTGTATGACACGTGTTGTTTAATCGTATGTTTCTGCAGTTTGTTAATTGCCACATGTGTGTTGCGCGTAGTAAGATGCTGAAACGTGTATGACACGTGTTGTTTAATCGTATGTTTCTGCAGTTTGTTAATTGCCACATGTGTGTTGCGTGTAGATTTCACTCCCCTGACAATTCATTTATAATGTTTACAACAGAAAATGTTATCTGCATTAAACCACTCAGTGGAGACATCATAATGCTTATTTTATCTTATTATACAGTCCTCAATGCACTGCCTGCCTTGTTTTGTCTTCATAGTCGCTGGTCGCGTGACACCACGCACAATCCTCACCACAGGTTTGTCCTGAAAACCTATTTTACGGGCTAGCACCCAGGCAGTCAGTAGGCTGTGTGCGCTCTACGCAGCTGGACGCAACGGTCGCCACAGGAGACTAACTCAACCTCGGTTGACTCATCGGAGCATCACACTGGCGTGTAAACCGCGATTTCACCGAATAACTATGTACTTACTTACCTAAAGTGGCAGTTTGTGCCAAACTGCGAACTTTTCATTGAAGATGCCTTGATTCCAAGGGGAGTGCCTCGGCGCGTGTTACAAGAGATTTTATATAAAACATTTCCTGTACAAACAGGTAGACATTTCCAATATGTGCATGAAGAGGATTGTAGCATTTTCAGTGGAAGGGTCTTGTACACGCTGACCTGGCGGGCTGACTTGTGATCCCAAACTCAAACAGTATCACGAAAAAACAAAGGATATACTTCCCATAAACGTGAATGTGCTTTTGGTTTATGATGCATCCCATAGATGTTTCTGAGAGCTGAGACATGTAGTTGCCTGGTATGACTTTTGGGTATTGAATTCCTTTAAAATTATACATTTGTTATGCTTAGGAGAGACACTGGAAGCATACTAAAGCATACTAAAATTCACACACTTATTGAAGTAGCAATGTGGACTTCAACAAACACAAGTAAACTTGGTGAGCACGGGAGATTTGACTGAATTTGCTGCACACAGTCCGCCTCATGTTTCAGTTGGTACGATATCCGAGATATCGCGCACAAGATTTCCGAAAACTCTTCGACAGCCCACGACCGGTTTTGCTCTTCTTGAGGCTCATCAGGTAGGCACAGTCCCCGTACAACTGCCTATTCGTGAGAATTTGATAGCGGTCTGAACAAACTGTGGATTGCAACGTATCACTCTTGCAATCCCATTCTGATAGTTCAATTGCTAGTGTTGATCTGCAGGCACTTGTTCGAGGGTTGCAGCCTGGCATATTGTCCGCCGCATTTGTATCGTGCTCGTATTACCCTGGTTCCGAAAGTCACAAATCCGATTTCTGCTTACAAACTGAGACAGATCTGCGTGTCATCAAATCTTGTCCGAGGCTTTCGTAAGATTTTGCTGATCGATGGAGCCGTAAATTGCAACCACCCTTACTCCAGCTTGCGTTTCTGCATCGAGATGGTTGTTCGAAAGTTACGTCGGCGTTACGAGCCGTGCTTCGTCGCCCTTCAGCAACTGCTTCTAGTTCGATGCATCGCACATATCTGTGAGAATGCTGTAGCAGTTATCCTCAATTCCGACGTTCACTGCCACAGAGGTGTGAGGGAGAGAGATCCACTCTCTCCAATATTGTTCATTGAGGTAGTGAGTGAGGTTCTTAGATTGTCGATGCCGCAACTAAGATGCCAGTTCCATGACATCCTAGTAGATGGTTTTGCCTTCGCTGACGACTGGTTCGTGTCCAGCTCGCCTTAAAAAAATTGAAGCTGCTGCGGTCAAGTTGATAACAGCTGGTATGAAGATAAACGCCCGAACGATGAAAGCGCCTGCGATTTGTGGGGACAGGAAACACCGGGCGACAGCGGTCTCGGTTTAAACTTTTTACTTCTCCGAGGAACTTATCGATCCTCTGGATCCAACAGACATATTCGGGCTTTCACTTGCTTTCGAGGAGAAGGAAATCTGCCATCATCGACAGCAGCGCTTCTACTGCTCGATGAGTTTACGAGTGCCCCGTTGAAATCGCACCAAAGAATGAAGATCGCAAGAAACTACCTGGAGCCGAGGCAGACATATTTGCTTGTGTTAGTCCAAGTCCACCGAAACACGCTCAGAAGGCCTGACAATTACATCAGACAGTTTATTAATGACTGGCTACGTCTACCGAAGGACGCCCTAATCAGCTTCTACCACGTCGGTAAACAACATGGGGAGTTCGTCTCACAAGGGTGAGTGCGGTCACCTCGTTACAGCGAAGGAAGCGTACGGAAAAGCTTCTGTTTACCCTATTCCGGGTACCACGCTGTGTGATCAATGATTTTCCATTTGATAAAGTGTTCCGGATTTCAGCATTCCAATCCAAGTCCAGGTTGTAAGCGTACGAACCAAGAAACAGCTGGTGACTGCTTGGGGTGGTAGTCTGCACAAGAGCGTTCGCGGGTGCGGTTTATGAAAATTGTTCGCTTCGCCTCTGTTAAATCAATGCCTTGTATTTCCAGAACGAGTGTTTCCTTGGATGTTTATCCAGCTCCGATGCGACCTTCTTAGCACGACGGTCAGAAGCACTCATTAAGGTCATGGTGGTCAGACGATCTTATGTCGTTGAAACTATGGCCAACCGGAGAGTTTGGTGCATATTTCGCAATCCTGCTGGATCACGCATGACGCCAGATGTGCTCGTCATAATCGGGTTGCAGGGGAACTTGCAAAATGTCTCCTTGGACTGGGGTACACCGTCTTCGAGGAGTTGAGAGCCCCTACTTCTACGTGGTTCATCAAACCTGACCTAATCGCTGTTCGAGATCGCCGTGCAGCTGCGATAGACGTCAGCATAGTCTCGGATGGGCGTGCAGAGACAGTGTGGAATGAGAAGAAGCTGAAGTATGGTGCTGATGAACATTCTCTCAGTAATTGGTCGTGACGTTGACTTTTTGTTCCACCATTCGATGATCATCTCTTATCGAGGGATCTGCTTTCCTCAGTCCGCCAAGACTGTTATTGGGGCTTCCTAAGGCCACAGTCAATGACGTGTGTTTGCTTACCATTGCGGACTCTGGGTACTTATGACACTTTTATGCGTGGTACATGGCGCTGAATGTACATTTTTGCCCCTGACTTTCAAACCTGACCGAGTATGACGGACAGTTTGTGCCCGATATGCATGTCTTGACTGTGCCAACGCCTACCACACCTTGTGGAGCATTTATCACTGTTTGTCCTTTCTGCAGGCGCTGGTCATCACGCGCGTGTTTCCATAACAAACATTCTTACATAAGTTGGGATTGATGTTGTCTAACTGGGAATCTTGGTGGCACACCTTCGAATAGAACGTTTCCTTCGTTTTATCGGATATTTTCCTGTAGTTCTTCCTCATCTATCACTTGGATTTACTTTTCATGTTTGTGACCATGGTCTTCAAAAAAAAGAGAAATAAGCATTAAGCCTACTACTTTACTGTTAGTGGTATTTCTTGGTGGCACACCTTCGAATAGAACGTTTCCTTCGTTTTATCGGATATTTTCCTGTAGTTCTTCCTCATCTATCACTTGGATTTACTTTTCATGTTTGTGACCATGGTCTTCAAAAGTAAGAGAAATAAGTATTAAGCCTACTACTTTACTGTTAGTAGTATTTGATCATGACGAGAAAAATCAGTTCGTCATTATGTCACCGCTACCATTGAAAGTGCTAGATAAGTAATGCAAATTCTGGCTGGAGAGATCTACCGAACCTGTCTTGTCCTCTTCCATGGCATTCAACTATAGTTCTTCGGGGGTCCTACACAAATGCATACAACAAGACAGAATCTGCTGGAATCGATTTCTACATGATGGCGTAGGTGAACCAACGACTGTTTTTTGAGCATTTAAAATCGAAGAGTAGTTTGTGGGTCGGCTGATTGATTGGGAAAAATCACTCGATAGCAGTGGTTGAAAAGAAATAAAAGAATAGTTTACGGCTTATGGTAGGCCAGTTTGCCCTACTTCTTTCCTTCGTTGTTAAGTTTTCTGGCTACAACCGTGATACTGTACACCTGGAGCCCCCATACGCTAACCTATATTACCCGTTTTTTATTGTAGTCCGGAAAATGTGACCAGGTCCTGAAAAAGCAAACGCAATTATGTGTTACTATCTATCTATCTATCTATCTATCTAACTACCTATCTATCTTCTATCTATCTATCTATCTATCTATCTATCTATCTATCTATCTATCTATCTATCTATCTATCTATCTATCTATCTATCTATCTATCTATCTATCTATCTATCTATCTATCTATCTATCTATCTATCTATCTATCTATCTATCTATCTATCTATCTATCTATCTATCTATCTATCTATCTATCTATCTATCTATCTATCTATCTATCTATCTATCTATCTATCTATCTATCTATCTATCTATCTATCTATCTATCTATCTATCTATCTATCTATCTATCTATCTATCTATCTATCTATCTATCTATCTATCTATCTATCTATCTATCTATCTATCTATCTATCTATCTATCTATCTATCTATCTATCTATCTATCTATCTATCTATCTATCTATCTATCTATCTATCTATCTATCTATCTATCTATCTATCTATCTATCTATCTATCTATCTATCTATCTATCTATCTATCTATCTATCTATCTATCTATCTATCTATACATGTGTGACCTTTGTTGAAGGTGTAACTCAAATAAGTAATTTTTCCGTCTACAGGAATTGTGCATGGTTTTCAAGAAAATGTGCAGCACAAACGTCGCCCTAAACTATAGTTGAGTAGTTGAGTAGTGATCAAGGACGTCAGAGTTACCTTTTGTCGGTTTGAGCGGGCACCATCAATTTCGCTGTGGTTAACACCTTTCAGTTTAAGGAAAGCGTTCAGCTGTAGCGACCTTTCGGTGCCTATCTGCCATGCCACCTGAAGGAAGCACGAGGGCTGGGATATTGCCAGGTTGCCCAAGCCTAGACAGGGGAAGTCGAGTGGCATAGGTCGGTTTCGAACCACGGACCTTCCAGTTAGTAGATTCGCGCTCTAACCACCTGAGCTATCTCGGCCCCACCTTTCAGATTGCTTGCTTCTGACCTCTTGGATCACGCCATTCTCATTCGTTTGTTGTTTGTCAAATTCAGCAGTTTAACTTGCAGATATGGTCGCTAAGCTATGAAATCTTCTGCGCCCACTGGATGGATTATCTCTTTGGAGTCGTGTTGATGCGGAGACGCTGCAACCTGTGGCTGCCAACTGATATCAGTGGCGATCGTTTTGTCAGTTTCTACCCAGATTACCTGATTGAATATCTGAAGGCACCTCGAAATGATTGTAGTAAGCTAGCACCAAGTCACTTTTATTCTTTTCTTCACAATAAGGCTTTCATATAGGAAAAGTTGTCGGTTTCTCCTTCCGAGGTGAATTGAATGGCAGTGTGGGCCTTATTGAACTCTTGTTGGAGTGATTCCAATTCGTCTTTGTTGTTAACAACGGCGAAGACGTCGTCAACATATCGGCAGTAGTGTTGCATGGCATGCTCTACCGTCAAATTGACGGCGTTGCCATGGGCTCACCACTGGGCCCAATGCTAGCCGACATTTTCATGAGTAAACTTGAAAATGGTCCCTTAAAGGCTTTCATATGGATCATGGTTGTACGGCAGTGACGCATCAGTGTTGAACACTGATGTCATTCTGTTGTTGTTGATGATGATGATGATGATGGTGATGGTGATGATGATGATGATGCTGAGGCGGAGATTGATAAACGTAAACATGAATTATCTTTAATCCTCTAAACTCTAAATAACCAAGGCGAGATTACAGTTGCAAGCGGCAGAAGCTGAAAAAAAGTGCAAACATTTGGCAAATAGAAAAAGGAACGAGCCAAACCTGCCCATTGAGGCACACACATAATTGCCAGTACATAAAATATTTTGCACCCAGCACTCATTACTTGATCCGTCCGGATTTTTGGACTGCCAACCACAGCACAGCAACAGTACCTGGACACAGGCGCACATCACGGTGCACGACAATGCAAGCAAATATTTTTCCAATCTCTACTGGCGTCTGTCAATCTTTATAACTCTCTCTCTCTCTCCTTCTCCGTTCCCCTGTTGGTTTCGCGCTGCCCTGCTGCGCTGACTGATTGGAGTTCGGGTTACGGAGAGTTTAATTACTATCCGTACTGCGAGCATTGCCAGCTTTGTGATCACCACCATCACCACTCTCTACCACCAAATACTCACACGGTAATTGCCTTTCACCCCGGGGTAGAAACCCGCTCCATCCCAACCTGGTTCACCAGATGGCCAACAGTTTTGTACCAAGCCAACAACCGTCCGAATCGAGACTAAAGCAGAGGACCGAATTTCGGAATCGAAGCAGGTGTGGTTGCCATCTTTTGCCCTAGCTATCAGTCCATCCATCCGTCTAGCATTCGCCTTATCAACCGCGTAGGAATCATAGCAGCGAAACATCATTTTGGTCAAATTCACCATCTTTAAGCAAGGGTTGAAATGTTCCGTCTGTCAAGAAATTTCGCTTGGGTGTGGTTGCAAAACGAAGTTGGATAGGAATGAGAAAAAAACACGGAGCGCGTGTTAGCCCATTCTGGAACTGGTGGCAATCGTTGGTGGATTAATGAACAAGGGTACAAAAACGAACAGCCAGTATGAATATACACCAAAAGACAAACCGACCGTTTTAACTTGAATGGGGAAGAATCTCTACTTCCTTGCACAGAAATAAAAGTAGTATGGTTGGTACGTTGAAGTAGGAAAAATGATGGTTTTCAATTTTAAAGTTGTGTGACAACTATGTCAAATGCTAAATGGAGGATATGGGTGGATCTCAAGAGCACTTAATCCATTATAAGAATCAGCCACACAAGACATATATCCGGGGTTTTCAAAATTTTCCGATGATATTGATTTGTTTTATCGATCTGTGGAAATCGCGTTCAAGCAGCTTTCGGAGGAAAAGCTATTGTTTTGTACCAGTGACAGCCTTTGTTGCTTGATTTCTAAGAAGAAAAACTTGTTGCATGATAAAGAATGTTCATGCTTCCGCAATCAGCGAAGGTCATTCACCTGAATGTGATGTATTGCTTTAACAAACCCTCTGTGGCCTCTTTTGCTCCACAAGTGGTGCCTTTGTTGCTTCTAAGAAGAAAACCTTGTTGCATGATAAAGAATGTTCATGCTTCCGCAATCAGCGAAGGTCATTCACCTGAATGTGATGTGATGCTTTAACAAACCCTCTGTGGCCTCTTTTGCTCCACAAGTGGTGTTTTATATTGCAAAATTATCTAAAAAAGTTGGACTGTTACGCACAATGATACCCCAGAGCAGCGCCGAGAAACGCAGTAGTAACCAGTGTGGTGCCTCTTTAAGTAATGTGTGAACAATTTCAAAACGGGACAAAGTCATTCCATCAATAATTCGTTCTAGAGAATAAATAGATCCTTGTACCGCTTTTGATAATATTTCCCACTAGGTGCACGAAATAAATAATACAACCAGTGCAGATAACAACCGCATGGTTATGGCCCAACAATGACCAGTGATTGATAATCGATACTAATTCTTTGATTGGAAATTCTCAACAATTCTAGAAGGAACTGTGGGTATGGAACAAAATTTCTGCCCAATAAAGCACATGGGAACTTTTCGTCATTGATTAGATTGCCAGGGATGCAACATGAATCAGTCTTGACTGGTATTTGTGCCGATTCCATAAATCGAAGTGGACCAAATCACCTGAAAGAATCACCTGAAAGTTAACGTAAGTTGTCCACATCATCAGCTTCTTCTCCTCGCGTTTTCGTCTTTTATGGTTAAACTGAATCGCAGCAGTCAGATTTTTATCCAATGAATGGTCCGAAAAGCGGTAAACAAAATTAAGCAGTTTGATCAGCTGGTGCCCTCCGAGGCCACCATGTGAACGCGCTAACCCTGTATTCATATTTTTTAATGATTAAAGTACACCACCAATTTTTAGTTCATATCGAAAATTCACATATTCCGAATAAAAATGAATCAACTTAGCAAGAGATCGGCTTCAATCGGGGGTCATTTTTACGTAGTACTGCATCG